CATAGCGGGGCGAATCTGTCTTAAGGACATAGTATTCAATACTAGCCTCGGTCCAGGTTCTTTATTGATTATTATGATTTTATTAATTTATTTTGCATATTTAATTAAATATAGAGTTGCATATTTAATTAATGATTTCTTAACATATTGTTAATTATCTAATGACATATTAGTATAAGATTTGTTATATCTTAAATATCACATGAAGCATATATTTTTCCAACAGATAGTCCATTTGAGTTCCATTAAGATGTGTGGGAGGCAAGTAGTTGGTCACAATAAAGATACGAGGAAAAGTCAAGGACGTTCTATTCTCCACAAGGGTGAGAAGATGACTTTTCATTACCAACCGATGGTTAATAGGCGTTTGGAGAAGGCTGTTGAAGGAAACGTCAAACTTGAAATTTCTGAGGGTGCCTTTGATAAGGGTTTAGAGTTTGATAGAAATACTGGAGGTATACTTGTGGCTGCGCAAGACATGTATAAGTTGAAGAATGAGAGCCCGAGGGTTAAGTTTGAGGATGACTCAAACTTAACTAAATTCTTTATTAATTTGTTTTGTGTTGGAGATAATGATGGCGTTATTTTTATTACTCACATTGTGTTGAAGAAAGACTCTTTATGATGTTGTCTTATCATTTCTGCTAAGGCGGATAAATTTTGCCAAGGATGGAGTTTTGTGGCTCATTTGAAATTTTTGCCAAGGTGGAGAATTTTAGTCAAGGTGGAGATTTGTTAGAAATTTGTCTAAAATTAATTTATGACATGGCAAAAATCTTTTGGTTAAAGAAGCGTGATGGTGAAACTTCCAAATTCAGAAGCTTTGAAATTCTTGGGTAACAAGAATTATTCTTGGGCAGCAAGAATTATCTTGGGCAACAAATGTTATATGACTTCCAAAGGAAGCTTTGTAATATACTTGGACACCAAGTATATTTTTGGCTATAAATAGCCTTTGCACTCTGTCGATGAAAAACATTTAAGAGTAAGACAATATTTGGATCAAGAGAGTATATTGATATTGTGTGTGTGAAAAAATTCTTTTGTGTGTGCAATCTTCAAGTGACACTTGAAGCTTATCTTTGAGTGGGTTTTTCTCTTTGTGTAAACCATATACTATTTGGGGTATTTCTTGAGTGTTGAGTGAGTCTTCTTTCTTGATGAGTGAGTGGTGTAAGAAGAGAGATTATTGTGAGCAAGAACCAAAACGTTTTTCAGTTTGTAATCTTTTTCTTTATAGTGATACGAATCATCATCGCTCGTGGATGTAACCCTATTTGTAAGGGTGAACCACGTATAAATCGTTGTCTCTTTTGTGTGCACCTATTTATTTTCTTGTCATTAATTTTTCTCTTATTTCTCATAAACTCCTATTCGATCCTTTTTTTATAACAGGTTTTGCCATCGACAATGGATCCGTGGGAAGCGAGTATTTGTAGAGAGAGAAAGAGAGACATAGGAGACAGAGGTGTTCTCGGAAGTGGTGATGATGGAGGTGGTTGTCGGCAATGGCGATGGTGGCAGTGGTCATTGACGACGAGGGTTTGCGCTTTCGTTATTTATTTATTTATTTTTTCTTTCTTTCTATATTGATTTGGGTATATTGTTGATGATGTGTGTGAGAGAGGAAGTAGATGGTTTGTGGCAGTTGCTATGGTGGGAGGAGGTAGCAGTGGGAATGACTATGGTAGGGAGGAGTTGGGTGGAGTAGATGGGTGATACGGCGGATAACTAGTTAGAAATTTTTTTTTTTTGTTAAAAAAAAAAAATTCTACATTACAAAAAGTAATTTATTTTTGATTCTCAATTTTAAGAATTGGTAATAAAAATCAGGAACCATTCCTGTTAGTAAACAAACCCTTAAAGTGTCTTCTGAAATGATATTCGAATTGATAAGATACTGTGGGTTAATAAGTGTGTATAATTATTGATTTTTTTTTTTTTGCTTCGTCTCTTCTTTGCTATTCTCCAAACTATGCTATCTTGAGATTTTGTAATTCAAATGACATGAAGATTTATTTATTTGTTAAACATATATATTTGGAATTTTGTGACTAAGTTTTAGTTTGAGAAAATTCAAAGACATAAACATTTGCAACATAATTAATGTAGTCGTTCTCTTGCAGCAATTTTACGAAAAAGAATGAATAAATTGCGGGTCAATCGGGTGGAAATACCAATATAACTTGTGATTACAAACGAGTGTGTAAGTTTCTTTTCAATGAAAAAAAAAATGTTTGGAAAAGATAGTCAAAAGAAAAGAAAGAGAATGATTTGCAACTCAAGCCCAGATTGATTTTTTGTAAGTTTCGTCAACTATTTTTACATTTAAGATTGAATTTGTATTAAAAAATATCAACCCAAATTTAATTAGTTTAATATTAATTGTGTGTGTATATATATATATATGATTTTATTTGAAATATATTATATAGAATACTTAAATTATGATTTTCTTTTTCTTTTAATTATTGCATGTTAACAATTTTGAGAATTAATTTTCTAATAATTTGTTTGTAATGTTTTATAAATTCGCATTGAGGTTTTTTTTTTTTTTTTTTTAATTAAAAAAAATTGTACTTAGGAGTATTAGATTGACAATTTATATGTATTAACTCGACTTTAAACCGAAACCTCAACCCCGAGTAATTTACCGAAAACAAAAATTATATTTAACAAAAAAAAAAAAAAAATACCAACCCTCCCAGCAACAATTACTAAAGCAAAAGTTAGAAAAGAGACACTAACAATGAACACCAATAGCATCTTGCTTAATCAACCGAAGATTGAAGGAGAAAGCGAAGATAGAATAAAGAACAAAGTCCGATTTCATATCATCCCAACCAAGTCCAATTCCATATCATCTCTTGAGAGCCCTGGAATATCATGGGCCACCTGATTACTATTACATCGAACATGAGAGATTGAGACCCAAGAAAATTGTTGTAGTGCGGTCCAGATACTCTAGCCTCCAATCCACATCGTTGACAAACCATATCCTTTAAGCAGCCTCTACTTACAAGAGCTGCCCCCACTGTATTGCACCACGGCAGCATCTACAAATGAAGTGACTGCACTTTGGAAGGCAGTTTACACCTCCACACCGTACTCCAAATCTACCCATTACCCGGCTAGCGAGCCTCCCTACTCATGTCGCTCATATTCTGAGCATTAGAGAAAAATTAAGTTAATTAAGCAATATGTTGACTTTACAGTGAACTTGCCCAGGTTTTTAAAAACCCAAATTTGGGAATTTCCCAGTTGTCTATGATTAAAAACAAATTTAGATATAGCTTGGGCTTCATACAGATTAAAAAGCTACACTTTTTGATTTGGATCGATTAAATAGCGACCCAACAAAAATTAGAATCAACTTCCCTTGGATTTAATGGAGTTGAGATACCACGAATTCGTTTATCCTTGCCACAATAATTCTCAACATTTATAGATTTACCATTCCTACCGACCATCTCAATCCTTGCCACAGTAATTCCAGAGAAGCCCAAATACTACTTCTCAACATTTATAGATTTACCATTCCTACCGACCATCTCAATCCTTGCCACAGTAATTCCAGAGAAGCCCAAATACTACACCACGTCCAGGACGGGTTCTATCCCGATCTGTCCAACCAACTTAAGTTACAGACCTTACAATGCAGGGATTAGTGGATCCCTCATTCTCCCTCCCTACTTCACCAAAACAAACACATCAAAGTTCTTATTCCAAATCATTTCCTTTCCTTTTCTTTCCTTTCCTGTTATTTCTATCCAAACAAACTGCCAAATTAAATTGGACCAAATTTACTTACAAGTGTCTTTTTATTTTATGTTTTTAAGTTATGCTTTGGAGTAATAATATGTAGTTTATTTATATTCTTAGTAACATGCAATCATGCATGCATATTCATGCAATTGCTGAATACTAAATGCATTAATTTTTTTGGGCCCATAGGAGAAACACTACTAAGACAACACTAGTAAAAAATGGTCATGCAAAAACAATGCATCGAGTTCATCCATAATTCATTGATCATCCTTTTTACATCTTCTAATAGTGAACCATTTCTATGCAAAAAATCATATATGCTTGGTTCAAGTATAGGATGGTTGGGGCATTAATGCATCTAACTTTTAACTCTATCCAATGTCAAATCTATATGGATTGTGAAAAAATATTACATCAATCCATCTCAATTTATGAGATATGGGAGAAAATTAAAAAATTACCATTCAATATTTGCTTTCCTTATTTCATTAATTCTGCTTTCGTATTTCAAGTTTCGTTATCAAGTACAACTTTAAGTTGTAACAAAATTTACTCAGGTTGAACAAGGGTTAAGGATTAGAAAGATTGAGTATTAGAATTAATAGAGTGTATCACCTAACATTAACTAGCAATATAAGTGCACTTTTAATAAATAATAATATATGTAATTTTGAAATAATTTTATAGATATATTATATTGATGACAAAATGCTAAAGTTCGGAGGTTCCTATCTCTTTTTAAACTTTTCATATATTCTCCGTTCAAAACCATTTACCATACAATTTTCTCTGCCCACTTAATATAATAAATTTACAAACAATAATTATAATATTGTAAGATTATTTATTTTTTTAGTTTATATTGATACCGTTCATTAATGGTTCAATGTATAAATTTCTGGTAAACGTATTTGTAAAGTTTTGTTTATTGACATGCTAATTCTACCTTCACCTAAACTGAAATTGAAATCTACTTGAGGATTATAATTTTGAACACTTATTTGTTTGTAGGTAAACTAACAAAGAATTGGATTCATCAATAGAATTGAAGTATATATCTATAAATATCCTTTTAAGATTTTAATTTATGAATAAGAACAAATGTAATACAAGCTAGCAGTGGTCCCTAACTGTGAAGAGAAACCTCTTTTTACTTAATTTCCACATTTGTCCCTCCCTCCCTTACCATGGCTTTATATATATACTAACCGCTCCTTGCTCTTTCGCCACACACCACTCCTATCTCTCTCCCAAACTATTTCTTTCTCTCTCTATATCTATAGAGTTTCAACAGTTTGCAACATGGGGAAAGATGGAAAGCTAACAAAGATCAAGTCTGCATTAAAGGAATGGCAATCCATCACCAAGCTCCACCCAACAAACACCACTTCTGTCGCAGTTGCTGACGACCGTTCTGCCACCGAAGAAGCCATCGACGTCGCCGGAACATTCCATCCCGTCTATGTCGGAAAATGTCGCCGGCGATACCTTGTCAGCTCCCAAGTCGTTGACCACCCTGTCTTCCAAGTGCTGGTCAACAAAACCGACGAATCTGATGAAATCAACATTGCCTGCGAGGTCGTACTGTTCGATCACTTGCTGTGGATGTTGGAGAACGCTGACTCACAATTGGAATCAATGGACGAGCTTGTTAAGTTTTACATTCACTGATCTAATTAATGGTCTTGATGAAGAGTACGTAATGTAGGAGGGTAGAATAGTAGTACTAGATTAGCAAATAAATGAGAGAGTCTTCTTCAACGGTGAGGATTACTTCATTGTATTTTATATCTGGTGATATCAAATATTTGTTATATAAACATCAGAGTCACCCAATTTGTATATTTAATTCTAATTTTATTTATAAAATATTTCCATGACTTAAAAATCAAGATAATCTTATCATACATGCATGCGTAAATGGTCAATCAACTACATATAAACACAAAAATATAAATAGGAACTTTTCGAACTCAAAATGAAGTTCCGATCTCTACCAAAAAAATAAAATAAAAAAAAGGAATATCCATAAACCAATCGGACGGATGTGATTGGAGATTTGCACAACACACAGTTTTGTTTTGTTTTTTTTTTTTTTTTTTGAAGTTGAAGCAAACACTCTCACTAGTACGCCCTAATAGAGTTCAAACTTTCAACCGCTTTTTGTAAAAGAATGGATGATGCGGTTATACCATCTAAACTAGAGATCCAGTGATACGCCAATTCATGTAAGACACTTGAATGTATGTATTGGGGACGATTATTTTGGCTTACACATACAAGTGGGTGCTCTACATAGATCACAATAGTCTGTAATGTACAATATCATGTTATTGTATCGAATCCTGTCACGTGAAGATATCCTTAATTATCACAAATATGTATGTGTATATATATATATAAATTATATTTTTATTTGAGGTATATATAGAGAGATTCCTTGGTTGGTGTTGATGGTATAGTACTACTACAGCAGGTACATAATTGGCTAATTGAAAATGGAAAGGGCAGTTTTATATATAAGAAGAATTGATATTTATGCAAGTGGGGGATTTGGAGCACATAGTTTGACACCAAACTGTCCGAAATGCCAACTGGATAGAGGTTGATGGTTAAGCACTAAGCAAACACTGGTGTTTTCGGGAGAAGAAGCAACTGGGAGACACTCAAAAGGATGTGGGGACGGTACAGTACTTGATAAGAGACTACATTCAATAGATAATGCATGTATTTCTAAACATACATGCACATGTTACATGTATGTGTGTGTGTGTGTATTTTCATGTGCAAGCACAAATTCACACACACTCTTTGTATACTGAACAGAGATCATCTTTAATTGTTTTTGGATATATATAAGTTATATATAACTTAAAATAGTTGAAAAATCATGGACACAGCCATGTCTGATCTGATTCTGGTTTCATATTTGTATATATAGTTCAGGGGCCTGGCTTGTAAACTGTGGGTGCCCCATTATTCAAAAGCTCATAGTTTTTATATGCATGCAAAACAACTTCTTCTTTTTCTTTTTTTTCAATTTATTATTGTCATGAACAAAGTTGACTGTTAATTTAATTACAAGACTTGGGCAAAGTGATGTTATAGTAGTCAACAAGTAAACTGTTATCAATTGTTCCTAAAGTTACTTTCCCAATGATATGGTATAAATATACTCTACCGTTATAAAGTTGAAATACTCTGTACCAAAATAGTTAGATACTTCCTTAATCACAATTTTCAAAGCATTCAATTATTTTGGGACGCTTTGACTATTTTTAATTTTTTGAACTACCCAATCCCGTGGAGTTTTTAGAAATGAAAGAAATTTAATTTAAATTTTTTTTTATTTTAAAGTTTCTGCTCTCAACTCTAACATTATATACAATAATTAAATTTAGTGTTACAACAAGTACTACTATTATTTAACAATTTTGTTTTTGCTGTCAACAAATATTGTTTATCAAATTGATAATAGTAAATACTATTTTTTTTCCCTCTTTAATTGGTGAAGTTGACAATAAACTTTGATAGTAAATACGGAGTACTACGTAGTAGTATTTTGACAGTGAAGAACCCTAATAGGTTGAGTCATAAGCTAAAATCCTAGGGCAGGGACCAAGTTTCAGAAGACATTTGTCTCACATTTGATTCGATGGTCTGATTTGAAGTTAATATGATGCAACTTTTTAGGCATTAAAATTGAACTGTGGCATTACAACTTGTCAGGTCGAAATTACGAAAAATGGAAGCAAGGAGTGGGGATGTCCAATGATGTATGTACTACTGTACTACGGACTTCAAGATTTATAAATTCTTGTTTTGGATTTGGGTAAATTATTCTCACAGTCCGTATGATAGTTTTAATGCACTGTGGATGTCATTACGAGTCACCGTCATAATTTGTCGAATAATTCGATACAATTTTTTTTTAGTCTGATAGGAAAACTGTATCAGTTAATTTATATTAACTTTATTTTAGTCCATTATATCGCACGATCAATATTGCGACTGTGACTTAAATTGCGAACCATGATATCAATAGTACTTCTATCTTAAACTCATCCTATAAATATAAGTCTTTTTTCAAACACGTGCTTTGCAGAATTCACACTGATTCAGAGCACATCGGTATACATATTGTTTTTCTTAAAAAAAAAAAAAAAATTCAAACTAAACTAAGTTTAAAATAATTTTTATACAAAATTTAAGTATAATCAAATATTTAACAATTATAATAATAAAAATGTAGTTAAAATTTAAAATTATACTAATAAAGAATGAAGAAAAAAAGAAAAACAATAAGTAATAAAAGAATATTTATTTTTTATATTTATTATTGACAGGACGGGCTTGGCAATACAAGTTAAATTGACTTCCAAGTTTGGTGTGACATTTTTCTATTAGAACTCCAACAGCATGCAAAATCATTTGCAAGGCGTTCGACATTGTGTAAAAGATATTATCTTTGTCCCTTTTTAGTTGTTCGTTTTGTAAATTGTAATTCATATAAATTGATCAATTATCATATCAAAATACTCTTTCTGTCCCTTTTTAATTGTCCGCTTCGTAAACTGTGACTCACATAAACTTTTATGAAGCGGACAACTAAAAAGGAATGAAGGGAGTATTTTGATATGGTAATTGACCAATTTACCTGATAGGACTCTTTGCTTGAATCAAGATATCCTTTAGACTTGTTCTTTGTTAGTGTTTTGTAGTAACTCACACAATTTTCTTTAACGAGTATCACTTTCACTCTTTGATCGCATTTTCGTTCTCACTCTCGTTTTCATTGTCACTATTTGTGACTTAATTTTGTCTTTGCTCTCGCTCCTGTTCCCGCTTTACATGACTTAAATTTTGTCCATATTTTTCAAAACACTACCAATTCATGTACAGTATATGATATAAGTAACTATTATTTTGTATATTTCTTCATTAAATATACAATTAGATATTATATAAATAATTAATTATATATTTAGTATAAATTTAGTTGTAAACCTTAAAAATAAAAAATTACAAATTATGCATTTACATACACAATAAAAAAATTTATATTCAATTATGCACATTAAAAATATGCAATTTCATATTATGCATTTACAATTGACACATTGCAAATATTTTTTTTTATTTTTAAAAATATGTAATTATGCATTTACAATTTATTTATTTATTTTAATTAAATTGAGAGTTTGCAAAATTAATCAAATGTAACTGTGCAAACTTACCAATTTCAAATTTACACATAATTTTTCAATTTACAAAATTACATTTGATTAAAGTTAAAATTTTGTTCAAGAAATTTGAAAATGTAAACTCTCAATTTAAGTTTAGTGTTTGATGTTAATTACATTTGGACTAAATTTTATATTTATAACTTAGAAAAATGCATATCCTCCTCCTTACTTTTTTTTCCCAAATATATGCATATAGTTTATAAAATTTACAAAGTATTAATTTCATAACAATTATGTTCAACTCATTACATTATGCAATTCAGGTTGAAAACCATTTGTAAGGTCAATAGGCAAATTAATCACACATATCCCTTCCAAACTCGCACTCAAGTACATCTTAATATTAAGTGCGTTTTTAACTTAGCGATATTTTTTCTATAATCTCAAGATGGATGGTGAGAATTTAAGGAAGAAAAAAAGGTATTTCATTCGTCTCAAAATAAGTGTTTACGTATATAATTTTTAATTGCTCCAAAATAATTGTCTCATTTAAAAAATTAATGTACTATTTTTTTTAATATTACTAATTTAACTTTCTTATATTAAATTTATAAAATATAACTCACCACATCATCACATTGTACTCCAGCCAATGGTGAATATTTATTTCTATGTTACAAGAAAAAATTATGAATTTTCATTACTATATAATCAGTACTCTCAAAACACTCAAGATTTTTTCTTGGAGAGGGGTAAGGAAGTGGTCTGGGTATTTAAGTCATTTAATGTGTGAGATATTTTTCATTTTTTGACTTAAAAAATATTAAAAACTGAGAGGTAAAAAAATTTCAAAGATTATATTGACGTGATTGTTTTGAAGTTGCAGGAGACCAAGGCTACAAGACTGAATCCGAGTGGAGAGCTAGATCTTGGTATATAATATAAAGGGACCACGACCACTGAATCTCATCCTCATAATTCTTGTTTCCAAACAAGTTGCCAAATTGGGATAATATTTAGACAGGTAAAAAATTCCTATTTATAGGAAATAGTACAGAAAAATGACCACATGGGCCTTTGGCCCACATATACATAAAAGCTTTGGTTTCCTAATTGTCAATGGTCTCCCACTCATACAAAGTTGTACTAGTACATGAAAACGACAACTTGGGCCCTTTGGCCCACTGCATAGAACAATTGGATTGTTTTGCGATTAAACGTGTTACAAGTTGTATACGTTAATCTCGGCCTAAGGACTAACGTGTTAAACGGGTTTTGGTAATCGCAAAGAGGGGGCGCCCTTAACGTGCTACACGTTAATCTCGGTCTAAGGACTAAGGCTGTCAACTGGCCTGTTTGGCTAACGTTTTTATTTCATTTTTTTTTATTTTTTTATTTATTTTAACTAGCAAACAAAAATTCAAAACATGTTTAGTAATGTTTGAGGTCAAAATTAAAAGTATAAAAATAATATTTTTATTTATGTAACAAAATGCTGTTAAAAAAAGAAAACTTTTTATTTTTATTTTTTGTTTTAAATATCATTATTATTAATTTTTTGCATTTACATAATCCATGTGAATATGTGATAACATATTAAGTTAGATAAACCCATTAAAAAATTGATAACATGTATCATAAACTATTTTTATTCTACTTACCAAATAAGGATCATTTCATAATAATTTTATATTACCCTATGTAAAATTACCTATAAATTATGTGAAAAATTAATCTTATGGTGCAGATGGGTTGGCTCGGCCCAACTATACGGACGTGGAACGGTACTACTCTGTGTGCCACTAGCAAATGGATCTGATTGTGCTAGTGTGTCTTCATGCGCTCCTTCCTCTTTTTATTATGACGGGCTCTAGTCCCAACACAAGCACGTGATTTCAATGGAGGATGGCTGAATATCACGTGGGTATGCACTAGGGGTCCTTTCAAATTGGACCACTTTTATTGCTATTCTTTTTGGTTAGGTAAATTGGACCACTTAGCCTTTTGCTTATCACACACACCTTATAAAAATCAATAATAAGTGGTGGTAGTGGTAGCGAATAGTCAAAAACTACGGAGTATTTCTCATTGCCAATTTAGATTTTTGTGGTCCAACTTATGAGAGGGACAACTGCTTCACGCACTTATTTTCTATTTATATGTCAACATGAATTATCCATTTTTGTATTCTAAGAAGTAAAAAAAAAAAAATATTAACGAATGCCTTCTAAGTTCTGGCAATTGAATTACTCCCGTTATTCTTAAAAGCCAAATTTCAATATTACAATACTTACAATATACGTTCATTTATGATATTAGCGCATACATCACCAAAGATTTCATTTATATAATCTTATTAATAATTTCAATATAAATCTCACTGAAGTAATCTTCAACTGTTATCTTATTAATGCCTACTCAAGTATGTTTCAAAATCATCACTTGTACGTTTTATTATATTTTTGGAAGGTGTCAACGCTTGTGATTAACTTTACACTAAGAAATGAAAAAGAAAAAAATAGATGAATGGGAATAAACAAAGAAGGTAGATGCATCCTAGACTTACTGTCGATGAAAAGTGTGATAAAACTTATTTATTTATGGTTGTTTGCATTTTTGTCATTTTGGTTAATTTTAAAAATTTTAAGTCACGTTAATTTACTTTTTCAGTCGTTTTAGAGAGCGGCAGAGCCCTACGAACTAAGAATGCCCATATTCTTGAATTTTATGTTAAATTATTAATTGCCTGTTTTTTATAAATTTTATCAATAGTTATATAATTGTATTTCAGGAAAAAAAACTAAAAAAGAGAGGAGAAATTCTGAAATTAAACAGGGTGGGGCGAGTGCCCGCATGGATGAAAAAGTTAAACGGGATGGGGATAGAGTGAAAAGGCCCCCCATTGCGAGAGTGGAGAGGGTACACCTGCCCAAAACCGTCCTCTTGTCGCAAGTTTAACTTATTTACAAAATAACTACTTTTAGATGTAATAAACAAGAATTTTTTAATTTTTTGGGGCATCCTTCTGGCCATTTCCCTGGGTGTTTGCATTTAAATAATAATAAGTAAATGTTTTATATAAAAATAAGGACAATACTTAGATCCTGAGGATTTATAGTACTGACTTATGTAGGTCAATAATAAATAGATATGTCAATCTTTAATTGCTAAATCAAATATGATAATTAGATACTCACTTACCAAATCAGAGATAGTGAATTTGATTACCATCTCTTATTTGATAATTAAAATAGAATGTGTCCATTTATTATTGATCCACATCCGTAGTTAGTATATTATAAAACCTCACGAGTAATGAGCTAAGTATAATAAAAATTAATAGTTGCCTCTTCCCTTTCACCATCGAGGTAGAATAGATGTAAATTATAGAACTCTTAGAATGCCTCAATAAAGCTTTTTTGTTTATGTGATTAATTAATTATTTATTTATCTAACTCTAAGAGAATAGTAGGAAATAGGTTGAAAGTTTGGATATCTTTAAATTATATTTATTTTTATTTTTTGTGATTGTCCAATGTAAGTTTTTTTTTTTTTTTTTTTTAACCAAACGGAACAACATTAACATGGAACAGAAGATACATCATAGTCAGGGAACAGAGTATTACAAAGCCACGCGGGCCAAATGCTCCACTCGACATTGCCACATTTGGCTTTTAAAGCAACCTTACTTAACAAGTGAGCCAATGTATGTGGATGGGAAGATTGTATCTGTTAGATACCGGGGATTATTACTTGTTTTAAGAAGACCAAAACTATCATCATACAAATAATAGTAGTTTATTTATTTCAACCAAACATAAGTTCCTACATGAAATAGAAATAGAGAGGATTGGGACCATAAAAGACTTGAAGGTACAATTTTATGCATGTCCAGTGAGAGATTATTACAGTCACAAACACTGAACAACACTGAATTCATTTTTCAACCAAGCATTGGAAATGACTTGGGATATTTTCCTGAAAAATTAGTGGCAACCCAATGCATATTGAGAGTGAGAGGCCCATTGGTACAAGTGGGCCCTTGTTCCTTAATTTAATGAGGCCTTGCATTGTCCACCTATTGTTGCAGACAGAGGCTTCACCAGTTACCACTGTCTTTTATATAAAGATACTCCTCCTCCTATTTGAAAAAGACTTGGAACAGGTATTACAGAACCTTCTGGACACACATCCTAAAATATCTATTTGAATCTCCAATCTGTACCATCAATAATCCTCATCCAATAATCAATCTACTCCATATGCAATCAACACAAAATAATAATATATCAGAATCATATATATATATATATATATATATATATAAAAGATCCTGTTTCTCGAGCTTTCTGTGCCTTATAGCGTTTTGGGAGAGAGAGCTGTTGATTCCTCCCAACACTTCCTTCCCTCAAACCATGCTAAGTTACGTGTTTTAGTCCACAAACATGTAGTCCTAATCCTGTAATCACATATATAGAGAGTGTTCTAAAGACACATTTAAAGGTGTTGATTCTGATTAATTCGTCGACAAGAAGTAATTTGGATATCTAGGTAGGTGCATACACGCATATATATATATATTGTTGTGTTGGGTTCAAGAATGGCAGCTGGAGAAGAGAAGAGCAACGATTTCTATGCTGTTTTGGGGTTGAAAAAGGAATGCTCTGCCGCGGAGCTCAGGAGTGCTTACAAGAAGCTAGCAATGGTCAGAATCTAAAACGAATAAAATGTTCAAATTTTCAAATCAATTTCTGGGTTTTCCACATATTTTCTCCGGAAACAAGGGAATTGATTTTTCCCGGTATTTCCTGGATATTTTGATTGAATCGTAGAAATAAATCGCTTTCCAGCGAATCACAAGTTGGAATTTTATTTTATTTTATTATTATTATTATTTTTTTGTGTTGTTCTACAACTTTTGGTTTTGACTTGTTATGTTGGAAAAACACTAAATACGATATTTGTCAATTTGCTCAGAGATGGCACCCAGATCGTTGCTCAGCGTCGGGAAATTCTAAGTACGAAGAGGAGGCTAAGAAGAAATTTCAGGCCATTCAAGAAGCCTATTCGGGTAATTCCTCCCTTTTCTCCATTATTCAATTCTAATCTCCTATTCATAATTTTAGAATACAGACATATGTATATATATATACAGTATAATATGTAGTAGTAGTATTATTGGATTCACGAGATGCTGATTCTCTTTTCTTTTTCAGTTCTTTCGGACGCAAATAAAAGGTTTATGTACGACGTAGGAGTCTACGACACCGATGATGACGAAAATGTAAGTCCTTTTGTGGGGTCAAGAGTTCATATGAGCTAAAGCGAGTTTGTGATCCTCTCATTTAGGAGTAATTGGTTTTGAAATCAATAGCAATGCTATTCAAAGTTAATAGGCTGGGAAATAGTCTGACCTCATTAATTGGTTCACTTTGAAAATCATTTTTCTTCTAGAAATTGCTAAATATTGAGATTTAAAACTAGTCCACCAATGCACTAACTATTAGAAGGGACCAGCATTCCCTCATGTTTAGAGCGTCCCATGCACAGTTGTTTGCACCAAGACAATGTCACTTTGGTGCACATCATGGAGCCCAAAGCGGGCCTCCCCGTATTGGTCTTTGTGCATCAAAACGACATCTTATGTTTTCTCAGAGTTTGCAAATCAAGACATATCTCATTTGCTAACAGTTTGTTGTGTAGTAAAATGACTTATTTACCCTCAAATTTGCAAATCAATAGACGGGCTAAATTCAAAAAAAAAAAAAAAAAAAAAAAAAAAATCTCTCTTTAAACTTTTTCAAACTTGCAAAAATCCGATTTATATAATTATTTTTGTGGTGAATTATACTGAATTTTTGCACATGCAAATGCAGGGAATGGGTGATTTTTTGGATGAAATGGCAGCTATGATGTGCCAAAACAAAGCCAATGTAAGCTTCTGCTCTCTGTTAGTACTTCTCATTCCACTGTTAGGAAGTCTCTACATGTGACACGCATATAAATGACTGGAGACTGCTATAATCTAAAGCGTGGGTCTTGGGGTTTTACTCATTCCATCCATAATTTTGGAAATTTTAAGCAACTTTTGTTTGTTGTCTCCTGTGAAATGCTAGACGCAGACTTCACAGAGTGTGAAAACTATCTATCGGTGGATGAGTGGGTCGTGTAACACATAAGTGACTCTCCAAAGCAGTCATTTTCTTCTCCCATGTTAAATCAAATTAGTCATGATTGAATCCTTATTGGAATTAGTCAAATTAGTTTGTTGGGAGACACCAAACTAGCAAAGGGGGTGTGTGGGACGCACATATTGGCTATTGCTGCTCCTTTTGGAATTATGAATTTTGATTCCTTCTTTCTTCTTTGGGTTTGTGGGTGTCTGTTAAAGTGATGGACTATCTGGTTAGCTAACAATGACTTTATGGGTCCTTTGAAACTGATGGTTTCATGTGGCCCTTAAAAACGTCCAGAGCACTCTCTGTATCATATGATGATGATTGTGATCTCTCCATGAACATGGAGCCCGGGTGCGCCTTAAGCTACTGATAGCAAATAAGGGTTTGCTCTTATTAATCCGGTAGTAATGATACTGATACGTTAGCTAATTACAGTCTTGTTCAAACAATATCTTGTTGTATGGAGCAGGTTTTGCGAGAAAATCTTTTTTCTCATGCTATCTTTTTGGTATTCATGTTAAGCGGCTGCTACTGATGGCTACAAGTACAAATGAGGCCTCCAGTGCCAGATGGTGCAGGCTGCAGGGCCTGCACTGAGCTCCACATCGTCGAACAGCTCATGAGGGGAAATGGTAACTCCAGTCGTGACTGTCACTAACATAATGCCACGATAAAAATGGGATCTAAATTGAGGCTTTACTGTACCTCCTCATATGATATGATGAATGTTGTGATTTTAGTGTTTATTTAACCAGTGTTGGTGAAATTTCTTTCCTAATAAAAGTGATGCACCCGTAATGATCAATGATGGTGGGTGTCATTATATTTCGCTAATCATCCGACATAATTGAATATAGACTCTGATTGGTGGACCTGCTGCCGATTATGCAAGTCTAGTCTATGAAATTTCTGTGTGTATTAAACTTTACACACTGTTAATTAATAAATTAATGGTTTGGTTATTTTGGTTTAGCAATAAAGTTTGTGGCATGTGGAATTGATTGACAGGGAAATGAGGGGGAGAGTTTTGAGGAATTGCAAGAGATATTTGAAGAAATGTTTCAAAGAGACATTGAGGCATCATTCAGTTCTACCTCTCAAACTGTAACCACTTCTTCTTGTACTTCTTCTTCCTATACCTTTTGCAGCGAAAGCTCTAATGCCACCAGTAAGCGTAATTCATTTGAAATGAACTTGGGAAAGTCCAAGGTTGAAGACTCTTCTAGCTTTGATGCTCACTTTGGCGGATTTTGCTTAGGAGGTTAGTGTTCTTTCTTCTCAAACACGAGCAAGCACACACACTTGAGTAAATGGGACGGCCATAATCTACATTTTTAGCATGCTATATTGTATTAACTATTATCTTTTCGTATTCAACTTTGAATGAAATATATCTTCTTTTATCACTAATGCATGGAAGGTAGAATTATTGGGTTTCATTGCAAGTGCAGTACACTCAATGACCTAAGGAACTCGTGATTACAGTGTTTTTATTGTATATATTTCAATGTATAATATTTACTTTTCAGTTCTTAGATTAAGTAGACAGATTCGGGAGTTTACCAAAATAATAATTGATGTTCTTACCTCAAATAGTGCATGATTATAAATAACATAATGTCATTTTCCTTGATATTGTACATTAGTACATATTTAAATTATAGTGGGATTAGGTTGAGCTGTTCAGCTTTGGGTTGAGAATTCTCTTTTACCTATACAAATAGACTGAAATCCCAGGTCAATTTGTTTTCGTCTCCGGATTTTGTACTAGTATGGATTTGGAGATTTATGAACTACAAACCTTGAATAAGCTTTTATTTTAGGTAATGAACTTTCTAGCTTATGAATAAGATTATTTGATTGAGGACTATTTTGTGCTTTTTCTTTCTCTAACTTGTTTTCTTTTGATTGATGAACACAGATGGAACATCCTCGGGAAAAATCCAGGGGGGGAAAAGGAGGAAACAGAGGGAGTCCAGGAGGGGTCGGAATAGCTAGACAGAGGACTAGCGGTGAACAGAGAACAAAATGTTTCGGCCACCCATGATGTGTTTTCCAGTGACCGTTTTAGGGTATCGGCTTGATGCTGCAACGGTCACTGAGATGAAGATGCATAATACCTAGCTGAAACAGTATCAATGGAATTAGGCATTTGTTCCAGCAATGTCAACATCTTGTTTTGTGCTGGGATAGAGTGGAGCTTGTATTAAGAACATTAGGCTCATGTTGAACAATTTTCGGGTGGCTGTGACACTGTTCTTCAATTGCAATGTCTTTGCTTCCATGTGTTCCTCTCCCTCTAAATGCCAGGTTCTAGTTTCTTTCCAACATGTCCCTCTGCTAATGCTGTGTCTATGTGGTACTAGTCAATTAATTATTTGAAGAGGGAAAAATATAAACATTGTCTACAAAGGTTTAGCAGTTAAAGAGAAAAAAGGTATGAAGCTTTGGGTTCGGTTTAATTTGTGGATTTAGTGAAGTAATGGAATAGAACTAGGCATGCTTGAATCATAATTGTTTTTCCGGTTTTTATTTTTTATTTTTTATTTTTTCTTCAAGGCAAGAATATTATGTTAGAGAAGTTAGAGATGTTAAACTCGAAGTCAACTCCAAAGACAACGGAAACAACCTATGCTGGCGTTGCCCTATTTCTAGCTTGGCTCGACTCAAATTTAAGTCATCTCGAGCCCACAAAACCGCAACACTTAGATATATGGGATATAGATTTGGCCCAAATCGGGAGATTGCAAAAGCATAAATTGTAGTTCTAAGCGTCCATTTCTGCGGAGCATGTGGAGCCATATGGTGGTAACTCGTAAGCTGATGTCCCATGTCTTTGGGCTTTAACTCCAAACCGGCCCATCAGGGACCTTGTCTAGAAGGCCCAAGACTTGCTGAGATCTACTATTATATAATTCATATTCATAGTTGTTTGAATTGGACTATAACAACCATGGAAGGTGGCTAGTGAGCTGTGAGGCACATCAACATTTTGTCCTGCTTAGCAGGGTTCAACAGATTGACATTGGCCCAATTGGAAAGCCCATGATGTAGATCAAACAACTTTGAGTGTCCTGACCAATGGGTCATGGTTTAGCGGTAGGAGATTTTTACTTTTTAAAGAAAGGTTAAAAATTAAAACTTTAGAGGAGAAGGGTGCACGAGTGAATTGCTTTGACTTAAATATAGATATATATATATTGAAAATAAATAAATATCCTAAAATAAAATTTGGAGCGCAGTGATATTTAGATATTCGGCAAAGTGAGTGTGTGTTTTTTTTGGTCAATGTAGTAATAATAATAATAATAATAATAAATTAGAACTTGAAATGGTACTTGTTTGATACCAAATTCAAGTCAATCCGATCATTTGAACTTGATTTCACAAGGATTCCCTTCAAATTTACTCCATTTCATTCTCTCCCGGTGACTTGATCTGAATAAGTTAATTCAGGTAGGGGGATGCTTTTTAGGTGAGTGAAAGCTACTAGCGGTCAGTTACGATAAACAAAATAATAATAATAATAATGAGTCAAAGTAATCAAGGGGATAGGATTGTGGAAAATACTTTTTTTTATTAGAGAAGCAATAAAATAATGTTATGTTCCATTTCACAGCTTACCAAACCCATTAGAATTATTAAAGACAATTATTGCATATATATACTTTAAAGTCTTTGTAGGGCCATTCTTGAAACTTTCTGCTTTGACGGAAATTAGGCGTATAGGACACTCTGGTGGGACCAATTTTGATGTTATATTTGAATGACTTTGATTTTAGATTGCAATAAGAGTTTGTTTGGTTCGCAGCACTTATTGAGAATGTAAAAAATTGTTTTAAGTCAATTATAAAAGATTTTTAAAATTAAATAAATTTACAATTGAATTTTTAAAAAATTGAATCAAGAAAAATATTTTGTATAAAAAATTTAAAATAAAAAATTGTTATTAGAATTACAAATTAAACAGGCCCACTTTGGCATTGATGTTACTTTTGGCTTAGAGAAGGATTGAGAAGGGATAGATAGACCTATTTTGTTTAATTAGAGAAAAAAGAAGAAAGAGAGAGAAAATAAGAGGGATGAAACGTTTCTTTATATTTTTTTTATATGCTCAATTTTGGGAGAAGAAAGGAGCGAGAAAATTAACACCTATCTATAAATATACAATTTTTAAATTTAACCTTTTTAAAAATAAATATCTACATTTTATAATTTTATATAGTGATGGGTATATTGGTAAAAAAATATAAAAATTCTCTTCCATTTTCTTTCAATCTCAATATATATGTATAACTTCATTCATCCTTTTAACTATTCATTACATTCAACTAAACAAAAAAAAAATAAAGGTGACACATTCCCTTGTCACCCATCCATCTCACCCTCTTTCTCTTTTTTCAATTTTTTTATCCCTCCAACCAAACAAAGCATGAGGATGAGTTTGGCGATAAGATTGTTCCATTATAATATGAAATTAAAAGTTTAAAATAAAAAATAATATCTTGTGTAAGATTGTAAGATTGAGCATATTTGACCTTTAGATATTGAATGCATTTGATCATCTCCAAATTTGACGAGGATCAAAAATTTAAAATTGTTAAAAAGATTATTTAGCTTTTTATAAAATATTTAGAGATTATGTCATACTAGTAGCATTATGTCATACACAATATGAATAAATATTTAGAGATTTATTAAAAAGATTATTTAGCCTTTTATAAAATTTAAAAATTGTTTCAATTCAGTAATCAGTAAATAAAAAGTTACTCTTCTGAGAAGATTCATTGACATTATTATACTTTAATAAACTGTAATTATAAAAAGATTTGATTTCTCATAGGAAGGAAAAAATAAATAAGAAAATAAGAAAGTGGAATTGAACTATATCGTCAAGTGGGAGTGTAGGTGGGACCCGCCATAACATCAACGTCCCCATATACAATCATATCCAATGCCGTGGCAAAATATTAGTATAAAGCGAAACCACCTGTCGATAACTCTCAAAAAGACAAAGACCAATTCAACTTCGCAATTTTTTTCTCCAACTCCTTTGGGCTCCGCTTCTAGCTCTCTTTCACCGTGTCGGCTTTTATTCGACTCGGCTCCGCTAACATTTTACTACTCGGCTCCGCTAACATTTTACTTTTGCTAAGATTTACCTGTTCATGGTCGTTGTTTTATTCTTGTCGGCAAATAAGTATACATATATTTATTGTGTCTCGAGTTGAAAAGCACCCATATAGGACACGTAATAAGGTACCAACGTACTGCTACCAAACAGTGACCCAGCCAGAAAATTGTGTAAGTGGAGGTAATAATATAAGTATAATTTATAGGTATACATATATCAAAATAAATAAAATAGTGGAGTATATAACTAACAAAAAAATTCAGGAACAATTAAATAGTTCCATCCCCTACGAAACTTAAAATACATATTTTTATGGAATGATGAATAAAATTATTGATTCATTACAAATAAGAATATACGTATTTAAGTGTGTCTGACGTCAAGAAGCACAAATATAAACACGGAACAAAATACAAACATGGTGCTAAAAAACTTAGAATATATATTTTTATAGAATCATGAATAAAACTACTAATTTGAAATTTAAAATTAAATGTTTGTTAATTTTGTTTATTACATTTAAGTTATTTTCTAACTAACGTATGATATACGGAGTATATTAAATTGCGGACCTAAGTAACACATGAGTGTAAAATTAAGTTTAAATGACATAGAACAGGGCGAATAAATGAATAAAAAAAGCAATTGTGAAGATGTAGGACATTGATCTCTTCACAACAATGTTCTTTTTAACATAGTGTATGACATCCACAAGTCCTTGGTTGGATGCGCGCCACACGGACAGCCAAAACAACACTGATGGATTAAGAGTGGTTATTCAAATGCAATCACTAAGAGTTTTATTTTTGGGGTTCACTGCATTCAGTTTGGTTGTTTATCGACATTGGTGCGATTGCTAATTTGCGATTAAAGCTTTTTAAGCGTGGAGCTTATGGTTTTTATTTTAAGTACGAGTTTGATTAGAGTTGCGGGATTAGACATGACCACGAGATGGTTAAAAGTAGGACTTGATCATGTTTTTTTTTATTTTTTTATTTTTTATTTAAAAAAAAACAAACTCAAACCTTTATCAAGTGGACCAAATATCTATTTTGAGTGCCAACCATACAAATCTTATAAACTATACTATTCACATTCTCTAAAAATTATTAAAATTAGCAGTTTACTTATCAAAATAAAAATAATTAAAATGAATATCACTTAAATTAAACAAAAAAGTGGATAAAATTTGATGGCCTTAGAGAAATGTGATTATCCATCCACCCAATACATTCCCAAAAAATTGGATGGCTTCAAACAAAGCCGTGTTAGCCGGAGCCACTCCTTCACTTTAAGCCATCAGATGAAGTTTCTGAATCTACCCCTTATCCCCTCCTCCAGTTCTCTCTCTATATAACAACCCCATCAGTCCTCCACTCCATCCCTCACGGAGAATCTCTCTGTAAATAAAATAAAAATCTACATCTTCTCTCTTCGTTTCACTGCCCCATCTCTTCGTAACAGTCGTGGAGGATTATATATACATATATAAATAAAGTTCGGTTGTTACAAAATAAGAAGACATGGGGTTCCTCCACAAGCTCTGGGACGAAACTCTGGCCGGACCCGCACCCGACGCCGGCCTCGGCAAACTACGCAAGTATGATTCATTCCCCGCCGTCCGATCCACTCCGAACATCCCTCCCGACGAGATTCCGGTCACTCGGAGCATCACAATCCTACGAACTAACTCCCTTTTACGCAACGTTTCCGGCGAATCGAGCTCTGTTCCGTCTTCTCCGGCCGGTTCGAGCACCCCTAGTTCGCCTTTCTCGCGTAAGTCTTTTTTATTCAATGTTTGATGATAAGAGGGTGTGATTGAAAGAGTTTTTTGTTTTTGTTTTTGTTTTTTTTAATCTTTTGGGGCTTTTATGTTATTTGTTGATTTTATTGGGGTGTATGATTTGGGTGCAGCGACCACGCCTCGTGGGGATTTCAAGAGATTGACGAGGAGAAAATCGTCACCGGAGGAATTTGAAAAAGCGGACCCTAGAAGTCTGACTACTTACGATTGGTTCGGTGTTTTGTTTTATTCACGTGAAATGTCATTTACACCATTATCTCCTTTTATTTTCACACACAGTATAAAATCTTGGAGTCCTAAAAGAAAATATTTAATTCCACACACCAGCTAAGTTAGATATTTATTGAATCCAAAATAATGAGACTATGAGAGTATATAATTTACCATAATATTTATTGAATCCAAAATAATGAGACTGTAAGTTTGATATGTTTGAAGCACCGGGCAGCTAAATTTAATTAAAACTTTAAACTACCTTTTTTTTTAAAATTTCAAATTTAAAGCACGAGTGTTCCCAACAATAATAGTAAAATTCAGAAATATAAATTGACCTACAATTTGCTCGGAAATATGTAACCTGCAAAATTAGAATTGGATTGAACAAATTTTAATTCTAAGCATTTTTTTTTTTAAAATTCTAAGATCAAAAGACTATGTTTGTATGTTACTAAACATAACTTTAGTTTAATATACAAAAATAAATATGATAGCTCAAATTGATTAGGTTAAGATAAAGGACACATGCATGAGTTTTCAAACTATGGTTTTTAATTTACAAGAGTTTGGATTTGAACTAAAGTTATAACAATTGATTAAAAAGAAAAAAAGAAAACTCCATATCAGTTAGATACACTCAACTAGAAGTGATGTAGAGCCCTTCGTTTTACAGAAGGTGCAAAACAATGATCTAACAACACTAAAAACTGTAAAATTGTTTGTTGTTAAGCTCAAGGGATAGAACAAGAGGTCATGGCCCACCTCCCATGTTATATTAGATGGATCTATAAGCATAATGTTCTAATAATTGATTAATATTGTCATGCATGTCTTGTGTGCACTTTTGACCTTAACCTGATTTTTCTTATATATGTGTTGCAGGATAGTGATAAGCGCTTTGGATCGTTGAGAGAGAAGTTACTGTTTTGTGTTGAGCAATCGACCACGACAAGATTCTGTACATAGAGAACCTTCATGGGTATCTTATATACTATAATAATATATATATAAATATGTATATATAATGTGACTGCGCATGTATATAATCTTAATTTGGTCTAATATATAGCTATAATAAGGCGTTCGGGTGAAGAGAAAATCACTCAAGGAACCACTGCTTCTTGGAAGTTTTCGAGAGATCGAGGAAGGAAGTTGGAGAGCTGACATTTGCTGAGTCTTGTTTCCAGTTTAATTATCTCCATGTTAATGGAGTTGTGCCTTTTGGTTTTGATTCCTTTTTTTTTTTTTTTTTTTTTTTTTTTGTGGGTTTAACAATTCTTGTACATATATGTGGGTGTTTGGTTTTGTTTTTGTAAATATGTGTGTGTATTCTGAATCCTCTTTCAAATGAAAACTTGTTTGCAGCCTCATGATTGTACCTCGTGTACTTTAAAATCTCTCTCTCTCTCTCTCTCTCTCACACACACACACACACACACACTGACAATGGATCCCCAATAGCTTGTCCAAGGTTACGCCAAAGACACACTTTGCAGGATTGAACTTTCCGCTAGAATCGTTATAGACTTGTTTAAGGTTAAGTAAATCATGTTCGTTTACTGAACTCGATCAACATGTTCATGAGCCTTGCGTATTGAACACGTTAAGCTGAATAACCTTCGATTGAGCTCATTAGTCTCTTGTTCGTGAATGGATTGCAGCAACTTATGAACGCGGTTCATTAATTTTTAATGCTCATTAGGACTTGCAACTATTTTGTTCTTTTAATCAATTTTGATATCAAGTTTTACCTTATTCCCTGCTAGCTCCAGCATAATTGGAGCTAAACTTGAACCTGATTTGTTTTCTTGATTAGGGTTTGAGCAAGCTCAAGTGGGCATGAATTTTTTAAACTACGCAATTATGCAAATTTTGATGCAATTAGTTTGAACATATATCTGAACAAGCTTATATAAACTGGTATAGAACAAAGTTTATGTCTGGTACATCTATGGTTCCTTTTATTAGAGGAAGATTGAAACAAAAGATAAGAGTTTCAGTTTATTTGAGACACCACCATTCATTCCAAAAAAGAAAAAAACTAGCAAAATCTCTGGTTGGGTTGAAACAGAAAATATGTGCATGTCAAGTATTTTATACTTGGTATGCCCGTCGAAGTATAAAATATTTATTTCTCGCCAAGTGGGGACTCTTCTATTAAACATACAGACTTCTATTTGAATGTGATTGAGCCTAAAGCTGCAGCTGCCTTGAGAGACTCAATCAGATCTGCAGCTTCTTGAACAGTTGCAATATTAGCTAGCAGCATCCCCCTTCTTCAATTGACAGGTCAAATTTCTGTTCCAGAGCCATCATTATTTCATTTTATTCATAAGTTAGGATTGCAACTAACAAATTTCATTAAAACAAGATTTGGTTATATACATGCAAGAGATTAATATAAATAAAATTGGAAAACGCATACAGTGTCAAGAGAGTCGGCACCCAAATCTGAAATTTTGGTTTGGGGAGTGACGGTGCTTGCATCAATTGACAGTTGATCTACTATTAGGCTCTGTACAATTGTTAGAGTTTCTGTCTGAGCCTGTACATAAATTGTGTCATTAAGCTTCACACATCTAAAACTATGATACTACAAGCAATTATACACACACACACACACACACACACACACACACATATATTTGAGTGATAAATATAAAATAGTTCTTACATTGGAGCATGAAATTGTAGTCTTGTGGCAGCGGTTGAGCGGCAATGATCCTTTCGCTGCATTTATGATTTGAATCTCGGGCACTAGTCTTAACCCACATACCATAGGACCACCCTGTGCAATATTGAGAACATATTTTGATATTAAAATGGCTAATGATTAACAGATTTAATAGTCTACTACTGATGCATTAAATAAGGCAAAAATTTTAATCTTATCCAACATATCCAAATGATAAGAAACTATCGTATACAAACTCCCTCAATATGTATATATATATATATATCTGTGTGTGTGTGTGTATTTGGTACTTAGAGTGGTAGAAAAGCTGGTGCTAAGTTGTTTAAGGGTGCATTTGGGTCTAGCGGTGCAAGGCACGTAGTGTGGAGGGAAAAATTCCCCTCCGGTAAGAGTCATCCATGTCATCACCATACAAATTTATACTTTCAATCCTTTAATAAATTACAGAAGCCCAGCCCGGGTCGAGCCCAAATTAAGTCTCCATCTAGCCCAAGATCGCTGGTACTAAACTTCTAACCCATCAGTCTAGCTTAGCTAGCCCAAGATGCATTCGGCCCAAACTATTTGGGAGTGAATGAGTCCTACTAAGCAAATGATCCTGCATGAAAGGAAAGTTCTACAAAAGGAAGAATCTGATATGGGGATAACTGTAAAAGGCAGTAACTTAGTTAGTAAATAATTGCATATGGGATTAATTGGAGAACCAACAAGACGAGTCTTACCATAATTCCACCACCTTTTTGTATATAAATGGAGGCCTAGTCCTCCAATAAAGATCATCGAGTAATATACGTTTTTCTCCGAATAATTCTTGTTACTTATTACTTTATCTTGAGTGAGTTGTATTATTTCTTTTAATTTATTTTATATAGAGAAATTTTGCATCTACACTTTGGCGCCGTCTGTGGGAACCGTATAGAAATATGCTCCCACAAGTGATTCAAATCGTTTATGTTACTACAATCTAGAATGTCAATCGGAAGATTTGCAGCAGTAGCTGATCAACAGATGGAGTTAATGCAAAAGATGCGAGAAGAGTTCTTGTAACAATTCGAAACGCTTCATCTAGCGAACGAGGCCAGCACGGCCTAGATTGCGATGCTTCAACAGAGGAACGATGCCCTCCAACCAGTTATGGCCCAGATAGCACTACAGTCACCACTAGGTGATACGGCAACACGTCTCCTAAACCAAAACATTCCTCCGGTTAACGAACCTCAAGCCAGTGAGGTTCGGCCCAATGAGGTTTGGCTTAACGACGTTCAGCAAGAGCAGAAGACAAGAACTGAAGTGGTCGCTTCGAACAATCATCCTCGTCGCATGCAGGACGAACAGGTTGAGTCCAGCCGTAAGCTTACGGTATGGACCAATGGCATTTCGGATGGCGCTGGCGTACATGAGGCCTTTGATGAGAAGAGGCTCCTAAGGATTCAGACACCCGCTGAGATGGCCAGAGAGCATAAGAACTTTCTAGTGAAGACTCCGTTCACCGATGATATATACCCTGTTGACACACCTAAGAAATTCACCATGCCTTCTTTCACTCAATTTGATGGTACAGGAGATCCTTCTCGTCACTTCGACCACTATTCAAGAAAGATGGCTCTGGACAATCATAACGATGCGTTCATGTGTAAGGTTTTCCCGACTAGTTTAACGGGAGCCGCATTGGAATGGTTCAAGAATAGGCCACGCAAATCCATCCCGAACTATAAATTTGTGCGCTACATTCTTAGCACAATATTGCGGAAACAAGAAGCCGAAGAAAACCATCTCTAGTCTCTTCACCATAAGGTAAAAGAGAGGAAAAACACTACAGGATTTCCTGTCCAGATTTAACATGGAGGCCTCGGAAATAACAAATTGTCATCCTGAGACTGCTATAGAAACATTCAAGATCAGTATAATTCAGGGAACCAAGTTCCATACCTCCCTAGTTAAATATTCCCCTCCGAACATGCAAACTCTCAATGTTAGGGCACAAATCTACATTCGACTTGAGGAGAATGTGGCTCACCAAGCGCAGCACGCCACCATCGTCACGGTAGAAAATAAGCCTCGGGAGAAAGCCTCGAGTTCAAAAAGTCAAAGAAGCCAACATGCCTCAGCACCAGTTGCCCAGGTACCTGAGAAAAGGCAAAGGATAGAAGAAAGGTTCACACCTTTCTGTACAACCCTAGCTCGGCTATTCCAAGAAAATAGGATGAGGTTCATAGCCCCTCAGCTAATGAGGCAACCCTTGGAGCAAAGGGACAAAAACAAACACTGTGCTTACCATAGGGACTACGGGCATACAACCAATGATTGCAGATCCTTTAGGCGGCAAGTAAAAAACATGATAACCAGATGTGAGTTGGCAGACTACCTTACGCCAAAAGAACACGTGAAGCTTAGGGAGGTTAATCCTTGGAAAGTAGAGGGAAACCAAGTAAAGGTTATTCATGTGATATATGGGAGGTCAGAAGATGACCAAGAGTCGGAAGAGGTGTACCGATCCAGACTGAGGGCAACCCATAAGCTAAGGAAGCTATCCTCTATAAACACTATCGCTTCGAGCAGTATTAGTATTGGGTTCGGCGATGGAGATCTATCTAGAGTTCAGCTTCCCCACGAGGGTCCACTAGTCATCAGTTTTCTGGTAGCAAATTGTATGATCAAAAAAGTTTTGGTGGACCCGGGAGCAGCGCCAATATTATCACATAAGCGGTTTTTGAGCAACTGGAGATCCCATCATCATCAATTTAGCCCACCTCTAGTTCTTTGCTGGGGTTCGATGACACAAAGGTGGACCTTATTGGGGTTATTGATTTATCTGTCACTGCGGCGAAAAAGACATTGAAGGAAAACTTTGTTCTGATAGAAATCCATCATTCTTATAATCTCATTGTGGGAAGAGGTTGGATCCACCGAATGCATGGGGTCCTGTCTACCCTTCATCAGGTGATGCGATATTTGTCTCCGGACGGTAAAGAGGTTATTGATCTTTGGGGAGATCAGGTCGCTGCCAAAGAATGCTACATACTGACATTAAATGAGGTAAAGAAGAGAATTAAGCAGTCCCAGCCAGATATGATCCCCGACAGTACTTCCAAATAGCAATTACAGAGCCCTCTGCCCAAGTATTTGAAAGCAGAGGAGGAAGCCGAAGCTCCAAAGCCTACCGAGGAATCTCTCGAAACCGTCGAAGTTGTCCTCGACAATCCTCATAAAATCACTTATATGGGCTCTTCCCCCACACCTGAAGAGAAACAAGTGTTAATTGATGTCATCCGACGGAATGCAGATGCGTTTGCCTGGGATCATTCGGACATGCTTGGGATTAGCCCTCCGATCTCATGCCATAGCCTGAAGGTGGATCCGGCATTCAAGCCGGTTAAACAAAGACACAGATAGTTCGCTCCTGAGTGCAATCGAATAATTGCTGAAGAGGTAAGCAAGTTATTTTAAGCAGGTTTCATCCGAGAAGTGCATTACCCACAATGGCTCTCGAACGTGGTGGTAGTTCAAAAGAAAAATGGAAAATGGAGAGTTTGCATATATTTTACCAATCTCAACAAGGCTTGCACTAAGGATAATTTTCCACTACCTAAGATAGATCAAATGGTTGATGCTACCACTGGTTATGAGAGACACACATTCCTCGATGTGTATTCCGGATATAATCAGATCCCTATGAATCCAGAGGATGAAGAAAAAATCGCCTTCATTATAGAGAAGGGTACTTACTGTTATAGAGTCATGCCCTTCAGGCTTAAGAATGCTGGGGTAATTTACCAACGTCTCGTTAATAGGATCTTCGACGAGATGCTGGGAAAAACGGTTGAAACTTATATTGAAGACATGGTGGTTAAAAGTGTGAAGAAGGAAGATCATCCCAAGCACCTCCAGGAAGTCTTTGACACTTTGAGAAAGTATAACATGAAGCTGAATCCTTCCAAATGTTCTTTTGCGGTCTCTTTAGGGCAATTTCTTTGCCATATTGTCAACAAGAGAGGAATAAAAGTAAACCCGGCTCAGGCTCAGGCCTTCATACAGAATCAGGAACCAAAAACTCGAAGGGAAGTACAGGTTTTAACCGGCCGAATCGTAGCTCTTAGCCGCTTCATATCTCGATTGTCAGATAAGTGTAAGCCATTTTTCGATGCCATAAGATCGAAGAACAAAGATTTATGGGGACCACAACAGCAGGAAACACTCAATCGGTTAAAGAATTACATGGCTAAACCACCAATTTTGTCTGCTCTGAAGCCTGGTGGAGCCCTCATCATGTATTTAGCAATCTCCAGTAGAGTTACTAGTGCCGTACTAATTTGAGAAGAAAGAAAGAATCAGTACCCTATTTTTTACACAAGTAAGACGATGACAGATGTTGAAACAAGATATAACAAAGCAGAGAAGATCATACTAGCCTTGATGTACACAAAGCGAAAGCTTCGGCACTATTTTGAGTCTCATAGCATCGTGGTCCTTACCAATTACCCCATGCGAACTATTCTTTCCAAGCCAGATTTATCTGGAAGAATTACTAAGTGGACAGTTGAACTCAGTTATTTCGATATAGCTTATGAATCAAAGGTGCCACATAAAGGACAGATGTTAGCTGATTTTCTATTGGAATATGCAGATAAACCCGAAGAGCCTGAGCTTCCTAAACCATATTGGGAGCTTCGGGTAGATGGCTCCTCGAATCTAACCTGTGCAGGAGCTGGAATCTAACCTGAAGGCACCAAGCTGCAGCAGTCAATCTGTTTGAATTTTCCTGCCACTGATAACGAAGCTGAGTATGAAGCCTTGCTTGCCGGGCTTCGGTTGGCAAACCAGCTTCAGGTAAAATGTTTAAAGGTTTTTAGTGACTCTCAACTTGTTGTGAATCAGGTGACAAACAAGTATCAGTCCAAAGAAGAAAGAATGAAAACATACAAGGAGGCTGTAGAGAGTGCTACACGTGGATTCGACCAAATCAAATTCCACCAAGTACCTCGAGAAGAAAACTCTGAAGCTGATCAACTGGCCATAGTGGCGTCTTCCTCAGATGAAGATTTGGTCCGGATAGTGCCAATCGACATCCTGGACAAACCTAGTATGAGTCCTCGGTAGGAGATAATGGTGATCCCGGACATTCCACGAGAACCATGCTAGTTGGACCCATTGGAAGCTTACCTCAAGCACGGAACTCTTCCGAACCAGAAAGCCGAGGCAAGGAAAGTAAAGTTCGCCGCAACTAAATACTCAATTATTAATAATCAACTGTACAAGAAATCATTCTCAGGTCCTTACCTAAAGTGCTTAAGCCCCAATGAAGCCCTCGTAGTATTAAAGCAAATTCATGATGGAGATTGTGGCAACCACTCCGGCGGCAGATCCCTCACACATAAGGTTCTAACTCAAGGCTACTTCTGGCCATATGTAATACCCCTAATTTTAAAAGGATAGTCCTGGTATTTAATTAATTGTTTAATTGTATTTTTAATTGTTTAATTGTTTTGTTTTAATTGTTTAATTGTGTATTTGTTTAGTTGAGTGAATTGTGTTAGTTAATTGAATAATTTATTTGCTTAATGGTATTTGTGTTATTTAATTAAATTATGTGTTTTTTTTTAGTTAATGGTTTATTATATTCTTTATTTAATTTAGATGAATTAAATGTTTTAATTGTTTTAGGGTTTTGTTTTAGATATCACGTTTTTGTGTAGCCGACTTTTAATTAGCTTAGGATTAGGATTAGGTTTTCATTGGGGCTTATATATAAGCTTGTATAAGTCTGCTAGGGTTAGAGAAAACCCTATTCACGTACTTAGTATATTGAGAGAAAACAGAGTAAGGTTGTGAGAGGTAGAGAGGAACCGAGAGTGGAACTTGGGTAATTAACAAAGCAATTCAAGGAGGAAGGAATGTGGTTGTTCTGGGTGGAACCAAAGCACTGGAGGTATAGAACTATAACCTAGGACATTGACAGAAAGTTCAGAGACGTGGATTAGAGTTTAAAATCTGAAACTCAAAGGCAAGTTTCTGTTCTTCTCTTTCCCTTTAATCTGTGTTCTGTGCATGCCTAGCTAAACTCCAGGAGCTTAATTAATGCTAAAAATATAATAATCATGCATGTTTAATTGGATTAAATTTGATACCCTCGGATTTCCGAATGCGGGTTGGCCAGGCCCACACCCGAATACCCGAGGATATCAAAACAAATTGATAATAAACGAACACAGAGTACAAAAGAATAAAGAAGAATAAATAAAATGCTGACAATAAACTAAAATGATAATCTAATAATAAACCTCAGAGTATATTTCCATTAGTTAATAAACTCTTCTGAGACAACTGATCCTCCAAAATACAACTCGAAAATCCATACTGTGTGGACCCCTAGAAAATCCAAACTAAACAAATGACAGCAATAACTGTCTAAATCAGGAAACTGAATCATAAAGGAACTCCTATGTAGCATCGGAAGAATGAAGTAGATTGATCCTTGCTCAGCACGAATAACCTCTACTCCTGACGAACACCTGAAAAATAATGGTGGGTCAGGCCCACAAACAAGTTCTACTCTATTACAGTCCAAGCAGAGATCCGATACACGTATACATCCTAGTCAATCCAACAGTAACTAGTAGTCCGTATATATATATATATATACACACACACACTAAAGGAACCTCACTAGACTATAGGGTTGTCTCAACCTGAATAGTATGCAACACGCAAACGCACATATAGTGGGCATGAGTACCTACGCGCCTGAACCACTGATCCTGAGACTCAAGCTCATATCATGGCACTATACTTATATATATATAATCTAGTAACCATCATATCCAGTATAAATTAATCCTCCATAAGTCATTCAACTTGTTCAGCTGACCTGACTTGAATATAAGTAGGATTTAACATTTTAGTTAATCCATTCCCTTATATAATAAATTAATCCTCCATAAGTCATTCAACTTGTTCAGCTGACCTGACTTGAATATAAGTAGGACTTAACATTTTAGTTAATCCATTCCCTTATATAAAATAGGTAGGACTTAACTGATAAGTTAATCCGTCCCTAGAATGCTACCGTTCCATACCGGTGTATTAAATCACACAATCCAACAATTGATGTAACGATTAAGGAAATACATCAAACAATCCAGAAATAAGTATGATAATATGATATTAAGTTATCACAAAATAGGAATGACTTATTATTTATTTAAGAAACCTATATCATATGTCCTACGCAAACTGAATCTTATACATGATAATATTTTATTATACCGTCAAATAAGCATTTTCCATATCCAATTCATCCTACACATTTAATCTTAATTGTTAAAACATTTTAAAAGATTAAATCCATTCGTTTGTTTAAAACATTCAAATAGCAAACATCATTATGATTGAGTCTATTTAAATTTATTTAAACCCAAACCTAATTCCTATTTAATGTTCAGGAATCCTAGGCATATTTCTACGTTTCATCATTCCACAGATATAAAAAATACATAATGTAAACATATAAAAATTCACACCGGAAATCAAATCAAACTCATGCGTTTATCAATTTATAACACAAGAACAGATATGAACTAAATTCATAAAACCTATGTTCTAATCCAATTAAAGATGCATAATTATTTAATTTTATGTGTTTAATAAATTCTGGAATTTCCTACGCATGTATAGAAACACGAATCAAAGGGAAAGAGATAGAAGAAGAACTTGCCTTAAACTTTCAGATCGAAAGTTAAATTTCTTCTTCCTTGATCTTCTTTCTACAGGGTTTTTTTTCCTCATTCCTTCTCTAACTCTCTCTCTCTCTAGAATATATCACGTGAATATTTCTAGCCCCCTTTTACAACCTATATATTTATAGGCTAAATAAAATAACCCTAACCCTTTTCCCAATTCAAGTCAATTTTAAAAAAATAAATATTAAAATATTAAAAAGGTAAGTAAAATATGTTACCTATATAATTTATGTATATCTTTATTAAATAAATAAATTATACACATCCCATTATTTATTAATGGATTATCCAATAATACTTAAGTTACCATAATATTACAAAGTAATTTAAAACATAACACGTATCAAATTTATGTATATTTTTATTATTTAAATATAAAACATATACATCAGATTAAATATTACTACCCAAGTTACCATAAAAGTAATTAATAAATTACTTTCCTTTTATATATATTTAAAAGGTAAGTAAAATATTTTACGTATATAATTTATATATATGTTTATTAAATAAATAAATTATACACATTCCATTATTTATTAATGGATTATCCAACAATACCTAAGTTACCATAATATTATAAAGTAACTTAAAACATAACACGTATCAAATCTATATATATTTTTATTATTTAAATATAAAATATATGTTACCCAA